GTAGTGTACAGCATCGATTTCTGTGGAACCCAGTAGCTGTCAAAACTTTCACATTTTTACGAATAACTCGGAAATCGTAAATTTTTCAGGTAAAACGGTTGAAACAAACATAAATTAAAATTGAACGGCCAATCTGAAAATATCAAAAAAAAGGGGGGGTTTTATTTAAAAAACCAGAGTTGGTAACTACCACACGTTTATGATGCACCCTGTATATTGGAAAGTAATTTTAGAATGTGGACCTTTTAAACGTGACAAACTTTTGTTGAACGAATTTTCTTGTAAACTTCATATTTACTGAGATATCGCACTTTGACGCACTAATGAGCAACCCTGTATAACCGTTTATCTACTACACATGGATAAATTCTGTCAGGCCGCTAGGTACACGCAAGTCAGCAAGTCGTCCAGTCCATCTTTATTGCTGGTATGTCTATGGTCCAATGTCAAATGTGAAGTGCATGACTGATGAGCACATGTAATTGATTGTGCATTGTACGAAAGAGTACTATTTGCTTCATGATGTTGGTGGAAATTCTGGTGTCCCAATAATGGTGCAATTAGAAGAAAAGTGCAGTGCGGTTGTCACAGACAGTCAGTAGAATATGGGTAAATAAACAGTCGTAAATAGCCGGATTTGTGTCGAGCGGTGTTTGGTCGTCCTTTATGTCTGTCGGAATGTCGCGTTCTGGCATGGCACTTTTCTCTAAGTTTCTCTTGCTCAAAATTGATAATTTATCAGTTCAATAATGCCCATAAATGAAAGGTCAATGTCTTAACCTCTTTCCAGGTGAAGGTGCATTTTATATCTGGCAAATTTCGGCGTTCTTTTTAATTTTTCCTGCAAGTAAATAGTACAAGTAATAATTAAAATTAAAAGTAATAAGTACACTTAAAAGGAAGCAAATTCAGGGAAAAAACTAATGCGGATGGTCCATAGAATCATGTTAGCAAACATTTATAAACTTTAATTAAATCTCCATTTTGTGACCATCTTTACGTCATATTTTGGGCAGTGTTGCCAGACTACACAATCGCTATAAAATTTCAAATTTCAAATAAATGGAATAGTATACTTTCGTTTGAGTGCTGTAAGTTTGTAAAAGCGTAAGTTGTTAAAAAACTGTAAGTTTGTACCGCCACTTGAGTTTGAGACACCCTATATAAATTGGTATTACCTTACAATAAACTGGACGTTAGTATCTAAAACTTTTGTATTTTATATTTTGCTCTAAATGTCAAATTAGATGTTAAAACGGGCTGGCCAAAATTCATTCAATTTGGTTATTAACTCAAAAACAGTAGATAATCATAGAACGGTTATATCGAATGGGCCTAGAATTTTACAAATATCTCGAATATGCAATGAAAAGTACGGCATTCCATTTAAAAAAAGGTAAGTTTGGTTTGCCACTAGAATTAGAGACACTCTGTATCAATTGATATTATTTTAAAATAAACTAGACGTTAATATCTACAACTTTTGATTTTAAGATTTTTCTATAAATTTCAAATTAGATTCAAAAACGGGGTGGCCACAGTTCAATCAATATTGGTTATTAACTCAAAAACAGTTGATAATCATTATAGAACATGTATATCGAGTAGACTTAGAATTTTGCGAATAGTTCGAATATGCAATAAAAAGTACGGCATTTCATTTAAAAAAAATTAAGTTTGGTCTGTTACTTGAATCTGAAGCCCCCTGTAGCAATTGTTGCTATCTTAAAATAAATTAGACGTTAATATCTACAACTTTTGTATTTAACAATTTTCTCTAAATTTCAAATTATATTGCAAAAACGGGGTGGCCACAGTTTAGTCAATATTGGTTATTAACTCAAAAACAGTTGAAAATCGTTATAGAACATTTATATCGAGTAGGCCTAGAATTGTGCGAATATGCAATAAAAAGTACGGCATTTCATTTAAAAAAAGGTAAGTTCGGTCTGCCACTTGAACTTGAGACAGCCTGTATCAATTGGTATTATCTTAAAATAAAGCAAACGTTAATATCTATAACTGTTGTATTCAACAGTTTTCTCAAAATTTCAAATTAGATGCAAAAACGGGGTGGCCAAAGTTCAATCAATAACCCTGTATATTGTATTTGTTAAGCCGAATTTGTGTAAATGCTGATTTCGTCTAAGGAACAGACATTTTGCAAAAACTATATGTTGGTTTCTCATATTCAGTTAGCTATAACATGTAATCGGTAAATACTTACGGGTTCTAGTTAATAAAATGAGCGGAATTCTCCCTGTCAGGTAAAATCGACAAACTCGTTTATCTCTTAAGTTCCGCAAAATTGGGAAGATTACATGAAATCGGCAATTACTCAAATTCGGAGCAACATAATAATTATGTACCTACATACTGACGTGTATAACAGTTTAAACAAAAGCGAAGACTATTTTTAGTAGTTGTAAATTTTTATTCAATTTAGTATTCTTACATTTAATGTCTGTTTCTATTTGAATCATTTTGTTTGCTTACATATGCTTTTATTAAAACGTTAAAATATTTATTTAATATTACAATTTTGCGACTATCACAAACGTGATTTTGGAGCAGCTCTTCAGGACATTGCAATTTAAAATTAATTTACGTTTTACTTCCGAACAACTTTCTGCATATACATCTATATAATTTTTAAAGCAATTATTTATTATTTGGGAAACAATTTTTGTTAGAGAATTAGGAAAAACTAGTTTAGACAATTCCGTGCATTTCTTGAATTCAATTTGAATGTTTTCTAATGAATAGTAATTTTCTAGGTGACATAAATTATTTTTACAAGTTTTATGAGGTATTTCACTGCAAACCCACCGCAATACATAAATTTCTGATAATTTTGCAGCGTTTACGTTAATATCTGATTTACAATCAAACAATCAAACTGACGTTTGCATGGAAATTACATGATCACTAGATTGTCTTGATACTTTTTGTTTGATTTTCGATTTATTTTTTTTTGGAAAATAAATGTTGAGGCACCTATTTCGCTGTTACTATCGGTAGACGGCTGTAATAACTGATTAGCCATTACAGAACGAAAACTGCACCGAAATTTAACGCTGCTGAAATGAAACCTTTTCTTTTTGGGGAGCATGCGCAAGTTAGCAATTCTTCAACACATTTCCAAATATTCCAAACCAGACAATTAAAAATTTCTAACACTAAAGGCCAGTTTACAGTCCGCAATTTTTATTACCCGCAACTTTCTTGCACGCAATATTTCGTTCTACGCTTGCGCATTTTATCAGTTTTCGAGTTGCCGGCAACTTTTATTGCACTTGCCGGCTATAGTTCCAAACCTAAAATTTCTTGCAGCTAGCCGCAATTTTAGTGACTTTTCTGGTTCTTTTCATGCTGCCAACTGTTCGTTCACAGTAATATAAATCACCAGCACTGGCATATTTGCTTATTTTTGTATTTCATCGAAATAAACTACAACTTATGTTAATCACAATAATTTTTCTGCTGCATTCCATGAGCTAATATTATTGGGTAGTTCTATTTAAACAAATACACTTTGATCTTGCCTCGCTTTTCTGAGACACTGTATCATATAAGATCTTTTCAAAACGTGCGCACTTTGTGCACACAAAAGCATATCATAAAGTTCAGTTTTATAGCAAAAAAACGACAAACAATTTGTTCGAGGAGAAAAATCTTTCACCAGTGGACATGTAAAGAAGTTTTTATTTATGGGAATTGCCAGCCACCCCTCATCAAGGAACAAGGAAGAGCAAGGCTGCATGTACTTGCCCCAGGTGCTGAAATTTGTGCTACTCACATATGGCGGCACTTTTTTATTTTTTTCTCACGCACATTACAATGTTAGTGCCACGGACATTGAGTGCCATTGGAATACCTCATGTTCTAAGCCTAGCGAGCAAAAAAGTGTTGAATTAATAAACTTTAAGGCTTGCGGTCTGGCGCCCAGCAATACTCTGAAACGTGTCGTTTTTGAAAATATATTTCCGCCATCTTAAGATTTTGATGTATTTTGGATTTTAGTGATTTCAGTAGTCTCGCTAAGTGAATTAATAAATTGCTGAAATATAGTGACGGAAGGAAAGTTTATTATTTTAATCGGCCACCCCTACAAAATAACACTCTAATATTGGATTGTTTTTATGTTAAGGAGCAAAATTAAAAATCTGTAGCCCAATTTTCGTTCTATTGTTATGGAATTGCTGAACTTTAACCTAAAAACGATAAAGTTAAATCGATTTATTTCCCAGAAGCTACATAAACTATTTGAAATGGTACAAAGCATATACCACACCAATAAATTGCCTTTACACGCAGATCAAACACGTTGGATACACTCGAAACCAGAAAATCCAAAGATACCTATGTAACAAGTACAATGTTTTGATTAAAAAATCTGACCTACCGTAACAACGTCGGATGCTTTACGTCACACTAATGATGCGACTTTGCGTCTGTACACCTTGTGCAAATAGCGGCTTTAGAAAATGAATCTACTTTTTCCATTCATCTTAAAATAGGTTATAGCGCGTTTTGGGTATGTGCCTTTGTAGAAGGTAGAAGAGCCAATATCTCAATTTCAATATTTTTGACAGCTTTTGCATATGGGCTACGCATTTCAAATATTAAAAATTGACTCAATATTGAAAATTGAAATTGACTGATTGAACTGCTTAAACAGTACCATTCAGATGTTGACTTTTATTTCAAAGTACTTATGTGTTTATAAGTTTGAAGGTATGATGAACAGTTTGGTCGTAATTCGTTGTTGAATTATTGTTTTTTGATCTTCAATTAATTTTGTCAGCTGTTTCATTTTACTTGTTTTAGGACATTCTGGCTTCAATACACGGCTGCTAAGTACTACCTGACACTGACTATATATTAATATATATATCTTCATTATTTGAACTGATTTGATATGTAATTTTTAAATAACTAATGCCTAACATAATTAGACAAACTAGTTGGGAATTGATTTGAATAAAATAGCGTTCGATATTTGTGTGAACGGTTGGCAAATCTAAATGTTTGAGCATTTGTTTCTTCGAAAGACTGGTAAATCTAACGAAAATTGCCTTAACTTGTTTGTTAGGAATATAAACAATTATCATGAGTGGAAACATCATCGAAATGATGAATTAGAACTTTTAATTCGACAATAATTTTTAAATATAGTTTTCAAACAAAAATCGAACTACCTAGATAAGCTAGTTAATTGATATATACATTTGTCTACGTGTACAAATGATCCATTTTAAAGTTTTATTTGCAGTTAGCGAATACACTTCTAACATGAGGTGGTATTAAAATGTACGCCATATTTTCTTATTTACCTCGTATACGAATTACGACTGAAATATATTTTTGGTAAAAAACTTTTTCGTCAAATTAGTAAAAGTTTTCCATATGGTGCATTAAGTAGACACAAATATCCTATACTGACATCCAATAACAGTTTATGTTAAAATTATGTTTCTGGGTCTCAACTTACAACTTACATTTCTATTAGCAGTTTTATATTTTTCGGTCGGAGAGTTTTAGCCTTTAGTTGTATTGGTTTTAATCGGTTAGTTGAACAGGCTCCAGATATTTGGTAATCCGAAGCCTGAACCCCGTATTTTTCTTTTGAGAAATATTTCAGCTTTTGATGTATTCTGAATGTTGTATATATTAATGCGAATAAAGTCCTTCATTATTATTATAATTATTATTAATGTTATGTTTGTATTTTTGCATTTAATTTGTTAGCAAGTTCAACTTTGTGATGGGTAAATATACTCCGCATGCTATTACTATGGCCGCACGTCATCAATCGTTTGCCAGCCGTAAATTACGTATATACAGGATGATTCAAAATTGGCGTCATTCCTCTGGAGGTGTTGTCTGGCGATGTTTAAGGAGTATAGGAAAAATAGTAAAACATTTTAATTGTGATTAAAAACTGAGAAATTTGCAAAAACTCTATTAGCAAAACGGCAACGACGTTTTTCAAGGTAATCTGCCTATTTAACATTACGTAAATACCTGTTGCTTCGGAATTATTTAAAAATTCGGTAACCATGGAATTATACAGAAAGTGACACTAAGATAAACAAGGATAAACGGCAAATTCAACAGGAATCGTTGAATTACGAAACCGATTTCAAAACTTATAACCTCGAATTATTAACTTGTTTACAAATTTCAAAAACATACATTTAAGTCTGTAACTCCAAACAAGTGCCTGTGTAATCGCCTTATTATGCACTCTTTTCCAGCAGCTTCTCGTATTCGGTTAATTAACTCCTGCTCAATTTATACCGGTGTTCAGTAACCATTGGTATAATGTGATCTTACATACGTGGTAGGAATGTAGCTGGTATTTATTTGAGTTCTGAGTGCCCCTTAAAGGCTCTTCTGCAATTATGTCCAATACTTATTCCTCTGTGTTTGGAAACTGAACATCAATTGTCGTCCACTATCTTCCTGCCACCACTCTCCTCGCCCTTGGTTAGCCTGCGTTCTTTCAGCTTCCGCTATGTTACTGTAGCATTTCCCTTGAACTAATCGCATATACACAAATTCGTGAATGGAAATTCAAAGTAAGTCACAGTTGGACAAATTATTGTTATTATTGGCAAGGGCTATCCAAATGTAACTATCTGTTAATGACAAGAAACATCATTGCCGGTTTGACTTTTCATCAAAAAATTGTAGAAGAGAACTTTTTTAGTATGAGAAATTTTCGTAATTTGAAGTAAAGATCGTAATGTTTTTTTTTAATGCTTAAGTATTCCAATACGCTACGAATTAAACATAGAATACTTTTAAAATAATTCTTAACAACAAAGTTGAAATTCGATTTTCAACTGTTAATATCTTCTAGAAATTTTCGAAAAAAAAAATGTCAATGTTCTCGTACCTTCCAAGTGCGCCCTTGAAAGTACCGACGCCAGTTGTAAATCACCCTGTATATGCATAAATATACAGCTCATGCTGTCTCGCTTTTGCTGAATATTCTTAATGAAATAATGTTTTTTTGAAAAGCACAAATATACCGTCAACTCAAAAGTCATGGACAAGTACATGACAAACGCAGCAAACGTCATGTGTTATTAAAGAATTTGCGATAAATCTATCGATTCGGCAGCAGCGTAATTTTTACCAACCTAATAATTTTAAACATGAATATAAATAATCAACATTGCTTTCAATTGAGTAGAATTCTAAAGTTTTTTCGCATTTTATGATTGTTTGAGGTTCCCCATTGCCTAAAACACAACAAAAGAGATTCAACTTATCGGGGGTAATACCACGAGTGCTTTGAAATTACCGATAATTTTTCACGATTAAATAAATCAGTCGACAGTGATATTTTTTATGATTCCATGACGACGTGAAATTATCGCTGTAAGTTTTTTTGAAAATTATCGAATTACCGATTATTAATACCTTTTTTGCCCTATGGCGTTGCTATGGATGAGTGAAATAATCACACACAGTCACTGATGACGTGCAACCAAAGTTATGCCGTACAGAGTATATGATTCTTTAAACGTCAGCCGTAGAAATAGCAGTTGCAAACGTCCGGGCGTACATTTTCAAATGTCCGTAATGTGACCACAGTAAATCTATATGCTTACTAATGCTCATTATGTGGGTTCTAGCTGAGATGGGCGATCAACACAGCGATCACAGGTTTTAGATGTCTCGACTGGTAAAAGAGATCTGGTGGTTTTCAACCCTTCAGTTCGTATCCTTTCTGAAATCCCCCGTCGTTATGTTTTTGTATCACTTATATATTCTTGTATGTTTAGCAACAATTGGGGGCTAGATCATGTTAATTAAAGGTCCTCAGTATTTCATACCCGTTCGTACAGGACGTTGGCACTGTCCGTTTTATTTGTTAAACTTGTTAAATAAACGAATGAAATTATTCTATTTATTTGAATATGGTAGCGGGTAGAAACTACGTGTTATCAAAAGGAACAGTTCTACTTCAGGGACGCGACCCTGCCTACGCAAGCCTTGCTGTCTCCTTTTACATTATTTGAGGAAAGCAAGTCCCAAACCTTAAATCCCAGCCAACATCCTCATTCCTAACACATCACTACCCCGTTATCAACTAACCAGTCAAGTGGAGCCCATCTATGCCGAGCGAGAATAAATACCAATTTAGACAGAAGACAAATATTAATTCTGTATTGCCGTTAAACGTTGCTGTTGGTCACATGCCGATAAGGGTTTGAAAGTATAGTGCTGGAGTTAAAAACGCTTGACAGGGTTGTACAAATAGCCTTCCGAATTGTGGACATTGATCTAGCTCGATCGATAACGAAGGGTAAAAACTTCGGCACAACAAAAAGTTTGCCGATGAATGTAAGACAATAAGTGAATTAGACGCATCAGTTTATCTCTGGAAAGGCCAAATTGTGAACATATTTATAAAAGATACGTTGAGGACTTGGAAATCGACCGACCCATCACCAATTTTATCACAATCTTGTAATCCCATTAATCTTTGAATTTTTTCTGTTTTGAGGAGACACACACCGATCTTAACTTAATAATGTGAGGAATCTGAGGCTGAAAAAATTGCCGGGAAAAAGATTCACACCTTCCATCAATGGCTTTAGACTAGACATTTGTAGTCAACAATTGCTTCGTCAAAGAGACACGATTTGCAGTTGGGCCATACTTAAGCAGTTTGTCGAATAGTTTGGTAAATGCTATTCTAATGTTCACTGGCAGCACCTACCAGTCTATAAGGCACAGCATCTATATAGAGAAAAAGTGCAAAAGTGGTTCATGCCTTTTGATTGTGACTAATTTGGCAGCCAAATAGCATTTGACCCACTCAAAAATATGAAGTGTTTGTTTTTTTGGGGTTTTCAGATAGTTCTACTTGTTTTTTGGTGTGCGTATATTTATATGTTAGTTGTGTACTGTATCACACAGCTGTTCTCGCCAATTCAAGTTTTATGCACCTGGTTACAACATCTCGTGTCCGTTTTAACACTGTTTTCGCCAAAAAAATATATAACAGTGGGGCCCGAAGAAATTAGGAGTGAAAGTCACAAGTCTTTGGTGTGTGGACTTGTTCTTTTCTAGTTTTTGGGAGATACCTGGGCTTTGGTTGAAATTGTCGATGTTGCGTGTAGTGGACTGTATTTTTGGGTTGAAATGAAACTGCACTCTTCACTTTCCTAACTTGACGATTTACTTAGTTAAAGTAAAGAGGTACAAAAAATGGCGACTAGGGCGTAAACAACGCTCCTTTATTCTTCGTGGTTATCATCGAAATCGCACCCTCTTGACTTGGGTGCGGTCGCGTCCCTGTTGCCGGTGTTGTCACTTTTATCCGAACAGTCGATCATGCAATGTACGGATGGTTGTGTGCAGATCTTTGACCTCAGGTAACCAAATAAAATTAAATCTAATGGTGCTAAATCACACGTTTTAGGTGGCCAACTCTGATCTTCGAATCGAGAGAGTACACTACCAGGTATCAGTTAACACTTGAGTTAAAAGAAAAATCGAATTCTTTCACGGGACGTTTGCATGCGGCACCGTCTTGCTGAAACCATATTGGCTAAATCAATATAATCCAGTTTCGGCAGAAATGTCTCTAACAGCCACTGCCTCATTTTATATGGTCTCGTGATGCCTCCAGCCGAAAACCGCACCAGGCAGAGATATGTGGATGTATTTGTTCTTCGGAAACGGCATTTTCACGATGAAGAGAGTCATCAACTAGAAAATGTGCTTTAACGATTAGAGTGATTTTGCTAGACAAATTATTATCCAGTTATTGGTGTTCAATAATCCGCTAAACGTGCTCCCTTCGCTGAACTTTTCATTAGAATTCAGGTTAATTCAAATTCGGAGGCAGAAATGTTTTGTGAGTAACTGCTGCAGATAGCTTCTTTTCGCAAACCCTGCGAACAAAAGGAACCTTGCTAATAAATTTAAAAAAATTATAACTGCCATCTTGTAAAATAATTTCTCAAAAATCTTTTCCTTAGAGTCAGCTCTTCTACTGCGCAAGTATGTGTAAACTATGTGGAGCAAAGTAATAAGAGGTATAAAGGATATGTTCTATTAACAACAATAGACGTTAATCTTGTTTTAGATTGAACATCTCTGGACTTACTTTTAGATTCTAATCTAGATAGGACAGGGAGATAATACTTTCTGTAAACTATATTTGTTTGACCTATTTATATCAAAACATTAACACTGGTACTTCTGGTTGTTGCAAATTCTTCTATTAAAAAGCTAGAATCGATAATATCAGGTTTCATCTTTACCTCTCCAGATTTATAAGAGCTGCTCATATTAAAATTTGCATGAGCATCAGCGACTGTCTACTGACATTTCATCAAATAGGGTAAGTGTTATAGTTATTGGCCTCTTAAGACCAATCGGAAAACAAAGTGCTAATTTATCGAGTCGGTTCAATTATTGTTGTTTGTTCTTGCTAATTAATGTTTTTCAATAGTTATTTTTTTTCTGAAATAATCTCCTACATTATACCATCATATTTATTTTTAAGCATATTGACAAGGCATGTGTAATTGGCCATGTTGATATAGTTATTGGCATGATAAGCGATACTCATTGGCCATATGAAAATTTACGGCCATACAAAACTAGGTAAATAGGTAGGTACCTACCTATTTTACTGTTAAAGATTTCATTAGATTCCTGATACTATATTTATTGTTGAGTACAAAATACATAAAAAAATATACATATTATCAACAAATAAATTACTTCTTATTTTTACAAGCAGTGTAAAAGAATTGAGTTTCACTTGAACATTTTTTTGCTGCACATTCGAGGTGAAACGTCCTGATATAGGATTTGCATTGAAGGCCTTGTCTCTGGCTGGCCATATTGAAAGTACAACTAAAGCAGATCTCGTAGTTTACAATTTTGTTTTCTGTAAACTGATTTTTTCTTTCCTTGGCTTAATAATACATCTGAGATAATCTTAACGTTTTGGCAAATTTCACTATCATCTTGAAAAAGTAGTTTTTTTGCTGACTGAAAAGAACTGTTGGAACATATTTATTTTCAGCTAAGTTTACATAATTCTTACTGCTACTTATTCAACGGATCCTTAATGCTAACATCGTTAGAGTGTCTAACACTCTATGTAACTTAAGATATATCATCATATGACTTAATCTAAATTAACCGAACAAAACCTCATCTAAACCTAATCCTAACAGCCTCTCTTGCTTCCTATAACTAACTTAAAGTTAGCCCATGGTCCTCGATGTGGTGCAGGAACTGGTCATCGCATGTGGTCCACGTCTTCTTAGACTGTGTCCGCAGGGAGAGGTCTGCGGTCACAGTTGAACTTCTTGGTGCAAGAAACGCTGACGGTGGGATTCTTGCTGTGCCGGATCCTATCCAGGAACCCGGAACAGGACGTTAGGTTCCGGATGTGGTCCAGCAAGTCTTCTGTATCTAGGTCTCTTCGCAGGGTGATATTTCTGACGAAGTATGGGGCCTTTGTCACTATCCTCAGTATTTTATTCTGGAATACTGCCAGTTTCTGCTTTTGCGCGGTGCTGGCTATGGACCACGCAGGAGATCTATAGGTCAGCACAGAACGTTTCAATTGCTTGTAAACTCTGGCCGTAGTTCGTAGGCAGACTTTACCTGACAGCAGAGGATAGCAGGCATGGAGCAGGAGTCTTGCCTTGGCGATGGTGTTTGCCATATGGTCGTGCCATACTAGACGCTTGTCATATGTGAGTCCAAGTTAGGTTATCTTGGAACTCCATGGTAGCTTCTGTCTTGCAAGCTCTAGTAGGCCTCTGGGTGGGTTCTTCCTGCCTCTTGTAAATATTATGGCTTGTGTTAGGTAGGGGCCAGAACCACCCCCTGCGGTACTCCTGACATCATTGGCCTGCTTGCAGAGAGCTGCTCGTCTGTCCTGACTGGGAAACTGCGTCCAGACAAGTAACTGCTGATGAGCTTGGTTTGGTACCCTGGAAAGCCTGCCTTAATCATCTTGGCAATCCGGCCCTGGTGCCAAACCTTGTCAAATGCCTTAGACATGTCTAGGAAGACAGCTCCTAGACTTTTTTGGCAATTCAACACTTGTTGGATTCTCGTTGTCAGCCGGGCGGCAAGTGTGCTTGTGCCATGGCCCGGCCTGAATCCATGTTGCTCATCCAGCAGCACTTTCTTGTCCTCTATCGTATCCTGGATTTGGTACAGGATACACCTCTCCATAATTTTGCCCATCATTGGTAGTAAGCTGATCGGCATGTAGGAGGTGAGCAGTTTCCTTTTTGAGCCTTTCTTCGGAACCAATACCACAATTGCCTTTTTCCAGATGTTCGGAAAGTATTGGAGGTCCAAGATTGCATTTCCCACTGTGGTCAGGTCCTCAATTGCTGCTTTCGGTTGCTTTTTGAGGACCTCATTAGAGATTTCGTCTATTTGGTTGGCCGGTACGACGGTTTGACTTGTTGAGGCTGCCAGGGCATTTTCAATTTCCCTGGTGAGACTTTCTGCTGCCTGGTCCAGGTCGTCCTCTGTAGTGGGCTGAGGGATCCGGCTGGAGCTTTCCATTATGCTTTGGACAGTCTGCCAGTTTGTGATCCTTTTAGTCATTTGAACATATTTTATTTCAGTTAAGTATACATAAACTTCTTACTGCTACTTAATCTACGGATCCTTAATGCTAACATCGCTAGAGTCTCTAACACTCTGTGTGTCTTAAGATATCTCCTATAACTAAGTCTAAATTAACCTAAGTACCTAATCTAAACCTAAACCTAACAGCCTCTCTTGCTTCCTATACTGACTTAAAGTTAGCCCATGGTCCTCGATGTGGTGCAGGAACTGGTCATCGCATGGTCCTTTTAGTCGCAGTGATGTTCTTGGTTTGGTTCGGTCCAAGTTGCAAGAGTATCGGCAAATGGTCCGACGACAATTCCTGAAGTACTTCGGGGCTGGACAGTCTTTCTGCATTTTTGTACAGGAATATGTCCTGTTCTTTCCGGCATCTCTGGCCAAATCAAATGGGACTTCAGTGCTTGAACGCCGCTTAAAAGTGTTGCCGTTGTTGTGTTATCTTCCTGGATGTTAACTACTGATAACTGCTGTTCAACTGCAGAGTTTGTACTCTTATGACATGTCATAATTGCGCCATCCGGCAGCCCACCCAGCCGAAGCCATTGGGCCATGTACAAACTACTCTCCAACCAAACCCCGCACCAAGCAAACGTGCCCAGAAAAATAGCAGTGCAGGAAAACCCCTAGCGCCCTGGCACCGGAGAATGTCCGGAATAACCCGCAGCGCAAGTTGGGCAGACAGCAACAACCCCGATGACGTCTATTTTCCTATAAAAAATAATTCTAGTTAAACCCACCCGCCTAAAGCTACTTACCGCTAAACTCTTTGTAAGTCCGTCTTTTTGTTAAAAGCAGCTTTCCTTTAAGACCTATCCTAACCTTAATTATGCCCTATCTGTCCTAACCTAGTTAACTTACTTCTTATGTTGATTGCTCACATGAGTCGTTCTGACGCTAACTAATAATCTATCACTCACTCATGAGTACTTGTGACCAAAACAGCACAAATAAAAAAAAGCAGGGTCATTAAAGCACTTGACTTGCCGACGCAAACGTATATTGTTCAGTCGCTGGTAGTTTCTCGTTAATAGCAAGGCAGTTTCAGAACATAGTTCGTTCTAAGGGATACGCACAACCAGTAGATCAGACGACCTATTCAAAGTCGTCGTCACTAACGATAAATTGAGCATATTCTTCAAATAGAGCTACCGGCTGCTCGTCTTTTCGCCCATCCTGGTCTCTCAAGCGCCAGTGAGAGGGTTCGATAGATAGGCTTTTCCGAGCCGCTTCTCTCACTGGTTTCATACAGACAGTCAAGGCGTGCTGAGCCGTTTCAGCGCCTAAACCACATTCACACTCACTGCAGCTTGTGACTTTAAACCGATGTAAATACGCGCGGAAATTTCCATGGCCTGTGGCAAGCTGCAGTGCCTTTTTGCGCAATCTAAGCATGCCTTTACCAACACGATCACACACACCATGAAGCTCTTTCCCATTCTGACTACAAGACCATAGACGCTGCCATTTCTCCATAACCCATTTCTTAAATAAGTTTAGCACCTGCATTTTGCTGACTTGTGCCTGAACTCCACTTTTAGGCGGAGCCCACAGTGCCTTTTTGGCCAGTCCATCGGCAGCGGCTGCCGCCGTGGAACCCCTGCGCATCCCCCACTGGACCGTCACCCCGATGCCAGCATCTCGCATGTCATGTAATGCTCTTTGAACTCTTACGGACTCCGCGTATCTCGACTCGTAATCATTGATTAAAGCCAGGGCTCCGCTAGAAACCGTCCAAACTATCTCTTTCTCCCCAACCTGACACAGGGAGCGCAGTTTCTTGAGTGCTCTTCCAATGGCGGCAAGCTCCATATCATTCACATATTTACCACCCCATTCAGCCCAGATGTCCTCTTCTGTCACTTTGCTTCCCATTCCCACACAACAAAAACCCGAGGCTCCTTTCTCTCCGCAACTGAGGCATCAAACCACACATTCTTATTCAACACGGTCTTCTTGTGACCTCTCCCCCATATCGACCTGTAAAATACCAACTTCCGCTTTAGACTTTCCACAACACTACAAACTCCACTCTGGTCCAAAGCGAGACCCGCGCAACAGTCATTCCTTGTCTCCCCTTCCGCCTTGTTTTCATTCGACCTTGATACAATTCTGTAACTTCCGACCAGTTCATCAAAAATATCCTGAATATTGTCCATGGCAATTCCAACCGCATCCCTGTCGCCCGCTCTAAATTTTTCTACGTCAGTAATATCGTCCTTCACCGAAACTGAGGCCTCATCTTGGGAGCAATACTCATGGGCCTGTCCTTCAGGTCCACCCAGAGAACCGCCGCTGCCTTCACGCTCCTCCCGTCTGCTTGAAAACCTGCCACCATCCTCATGGGCCTCTCGTTCTGGCTGACCCAGAGAAGGTCCTATCTGCTTCCTTTTTTTGGCGCTTCGCGCCACACTTTCCCTGACTGCTCAAATCTTTGTTGTCTGACCCAATTGAATCTGCCTGAGGGCTCAGAGGAGACCGAGAAATTCGATCTCGCCGAACAAAACCACTTCCCCCTCCGGATTCCGACTCGCTTTCCATCATGACAATCCTCTATTTGCCTTTTCGATCCCTCTTACTCATTTTGCATTTGAACAGTAGCAACGATGTTTGTTTCGGGCAGGGGCGATACCACCGCACCCTAAACCCGTTGACAAGAACTCGCGCCGATGCACCGGTCACCCGCGTTTGCGAGAAAAACTGGGACTCTCACTTCCGGTTTCAGATAAAATGAGTCTGCTTGGGAAGAAAATTGTCTCTGCAAAGGTTTTCACTTGACCGGTACCCGCTTTGCACCCCGGGTCCCAACGGACCGGTTGTTTGGTCGAACAAAGCTCTGGAATGTGACGAGTCCGTCATGATTTCCGTTCTTTGTTTCTTATAAAAAAAATGGCCAGGGGGAGTCCTTAGCCCCAGCTCTTTTTTCTAATTTTTTTAAGCTCTTGGGGTATCTTTGCCCCAAAAATAAATTGGCCCCCTGGCCTTTTGTCCCGGATCTCCTGGTCTTCTTAGGTCCTTCCCGTTTTCTTAGTTACCTCAGAGCCGTGTACCCACTGGGCGACTATATCATCGTAGGTAACCAAGCGGGATAATAGGGGTAGGATGAGAATAAGGATATTTTAAACGCATGTATTAACCCTTACACTGCTAACAGCAATTTTGAATTCGTCAACTGTGTGGGGCTAAAATAAGGGCCAGCGTATATATACGTCTGGAGCAGCAAGATGTTGTTGCGTATAAGTACGTCGAGAGCAGCGGAAAGTATTTAGCCCTATTTGACGGGATCGCACTCAGATGAACTTGATATCGAAATAAAAATTATTGATGTCTCAAAAGTATATATATTAGCAGGTACAAAGCGGGGAAAATGAGGATAAAATATACAAAATAGGCATAGTTTCCGTAATATGAAGTACTAAATTATTAAACTTAAATATTTGGAAATAAACCCTATGTAAGGAATTAGTATTTTTTTACAGTGTGATACCTTTAAAAACATGACAAAACGCATAAAGGAACATTGCAGTTATCCACACATATAACGCGTATCTTTTCTCTTCTGATTTTTGGTGCATACCACACAACGTTTTTGAGTGTTTTTTTTTAATTTGCGTTAGATGGTATTAATGAAGAGAAATGTCGATCTTTCAAACGTGTTGAATTTTCAGAATTTAAATTTCTTCTACTCCGACTATCAGATTTATCATTATTAAAGCGCGGAATATATGCAGTTAAATTCAATCAAAATATGCGCATATATATGCATAATTTTTATTCCAAATATGCAATTATATGCATTT